TCTTAATCAGGATATTAATAAGGAACTAGCAGTTTATGAAGCTTTTGGAATAATCCACCAATTTTTTAAAATTAAACACTATCTAAAGATTTGCATCGAAGCGTTTTTTTTTGATAGTGATTTTAATCACTGTCAGATATCATTATACTTGATCCAACTATGCCACGTCACCACTGTGCCGCGACCCCCCTGTGCTGGGTTTTTTTATATTCTATTTGACACTATTAAATTGTCATACTTGTAGCATTAGTAATAAAAGCTTTGATTTAAAATTTTCCTAGAGAAGCTAAAGACGGTGGGTGGAAAACGTCAGAATCGATAATGGGAGAAGTACGCTCCTACCTTCTTTTTTATGTAAGTTCTATACGGGTCATTTAAATATTATTCCTTATTTATCTTAAAAAATATGTTTCATTACTCGGAAAATTATATATTACAATATTAACTTTTGATTAGTATTTTTATAATTCATCAAGTTAAAAAAAAAAAATAGTTTTATCGGGTAAACGAGGTTAATTAACAGATAATAAAATATATTTTTTTAATTAATACAACTCGTACATCTAGTAATTTTTTTATTTTTTTGAAGCATTCATTTGAAATCAACGTTGACTTGGAATTTAAAAAAAAGTTTTGCTGAAAGTCTTCACAATAAAACACTTTCCACGTGCGATCAACACGTGTCCTACGTTTTAACAATATTGGACAGATGCTATACTGCTACATCATTTTCAAGAGTAAATTTATAATTCAGTATTCAAATATTAATCATAGGTTTTTTTTAATTTAGAATAATTGTATATATCTGAAGAATAAAATTGGTTTATTATTATTTAGAAGTTAAAAATGTAAAATGAGGTTTATTTTCATCGGAAATGAACAAATATTTTTGATTACTCAATATCTAGCCAATTTGAGTTGTCTTTAAATTGAATTAATTCAAAAACGAAACAAGTCACTAATTTTTTCAAATTTTGTGATAATGTTTGTAATTTTGGTTATTGTGTAAAGTTAAAATTGACAGACTCAAATTTAATATAAATACCGGCCACAACAAATTAGATTCATCCCATAAACTATACAAGTCACTTATCTGTGCAATTTTAAATATAAAAATGTTAATTTCTTGGCACGTGTCATTTCTGAAATGATGAATTCAATTATTTAACCAGGTTTTTTGCATTTAGTTATTTAGCTAATGTAACATCTATATAAAATCAAAATACCAAATGTAATCATTATTACATGATTTTAGTTTTATACACAAAAAATAGGTTTGCAAATTGTTGAAGGTAACATTTTATACTGTAGTTAAATAGTATACTATTATATACTTTAAATAATATTTATATATGCCCTTTACACGAAAAATGAATTTAGTGTTGTCCAGTTTCTTTCCTTTTGCTTAACATAATGTTAATTTATTTTATTTTACATGTTGTATGCTATATTGGTGGTCAATAAGTGGAAAATTTTCGAATGAAATCAGCTTTTTCGAGCATTAATGGGTCTCGTATACCGCAAATATGTGAAGAGTTAGTGATTTATCATGATATTAAATCTGTTGGATAAGGAAGAATTATTAGAGAAGGGGTGCTCAGGGATGGAAAAACCCTACTCAGAGCGTTGTCCTGGTGACAGCCTTGGCACGCATCCGAAAATTTTCGGTGGCCGTGACCCGAGTTGACCCCGGAACACTTAGAAAACTTATCTCAAGGGACCGAAAAATAACGTCAACCCCTGAAACAATTATAATTGTCGGTCCTTTTGTTATTGTTATATACAATTGATGACACTGATGGTTTACCTCTATTATATTATATTATTATATTTGTGGATTACATGAAATTTTTCATATACACTGAATAGCATTTATTTGAAAAACTATCTTAGTTTTCTTATTAATTTTTATTAAATATATGTGTTATTAAGTTATACAAACATTCATTCAAAATATTTCTTTGAAGTTTATTATTTAATTAACAACCCTTTTTGTTGGTTATTTAATTCCCAATATTTTTTTGCTTCTTAAAAACTTTTATTATATTATATTAATGAAATTTAATATATAAATAGATAATGTTAAATTTTAATATTGAGAATAAAAGTTCAATTTTTAAATTTTTTATTTTAATATAAAAACTGAAAATTATACAAATATATATGAAAATATTTTTAGGGTGTGGAAAAATATATTTAGCCTCAAACACTATTATTCTTGTTGATTATATAGTCAGATATCGTATTAGAAATACATTTTTTGTATAACAATTAAATATATCATAATGTTATCTTACAATAATTGTAATTATTAAGTTTACCGTTATTAAAAATTTTCGTTTGTCGTTTAATATTAAAAGGGTTTGAAACATAATTCATTACTATAAGTTGTTTTTAATACAGTCATATGACCACTTTTTTCTTTTCATAGAGATTTTTTAAATAAAACGTTTGAATATAATTTATTTTTGTTATAATAAGAAATATTTAACGTTATAAGTCGTATTATGTATAACAATATTTTTCGTTTATTAATACTACATATTTTTGATTATGTTTGGATAATATTTTTAGTTGCAAACGTTATTCATAAAGTTTTCTCTATGACTAAAAATTTTAAAGTAATTTTAATTGTAAAATTAAAAACGTATAACTACTATAAAAACTTATAATAGTAAAAATATAAATAATATATACCATATAATATATTCTTTTTATTCTTAACATAACAATTAAATATATTTAAATAGTAGTCCTAGTACTTTGCGCGGTGGTCACACTAGTTGTTGACATATGTGCGCTTTTACGGTGGCGAAAAAGCTCCATATTTCCAGTGCAGAAAGCAACAGGAAACCACCACTGCACTTAAAAAATTTCCCAAGGTTATACCAACCCAATTGATATTTAAGCAACCTAACGGTTGAAAAAAAAAAGTCCTAGTATTCATAAATAAAACTTTTTCCACGACATTCGAGTGGTACAATTGTCTACTAATCAAAGTCTAATCTGATCACTAGTTTTTGAGATTTAGCTGTCCCTCAAAAATTACCGCCCTAAGCATTAGCTTAATGTGTTTATTGAGAAATCTAGATTTAGCTATATAGTATTGTGTAATTTTATTATTTTATACACAGAACAATATTACGGGATTACATTTATTTTTAATTATTTGACTCTAATAAGAAAAAATAAAATTTTATTTCTTCTGTTACCACTTTTTCTCAGCTCTCATCGAACCGATTTCTTTGAACAATACGTCAAAAAGTCGTAAATACTTTTAATCAAAAATATTTTTCTTAAAAATTGAAAAATATTTCCCTCGTTCTTCATTTACGGAGGGAAATCCCACCAAAAAATACAATTTTTAAAATGNCCGTAAATGAGGGAAATCCCACCAAAAAATACAATTTTTAAAATGGTAATTTTCTACATTTTTTGCTTAAAACTGTCATAACTTTTTGAAAAATGATTGAGTTAAAACATATATATTTTAAAGATACCCGAGGTAACAAATTTTTAGCTTTTACAAACAATTTTGTGAAGTTCATAACAACTTTAAACCATTTGCAAAGCTAAATAAAAATTAAAAACAATACATAATTAAAATAAAAAGTAAATACTGAGCGCTGTAAAAATGTTTCGTAAATAAATTTAAAAAAAATCCCCAAGTTAAAAATGATTATATTTAGTTAAGTCGTACCTGTGAACTATACACCTTTAAATAATTTCAAAGAATAAAAAGAACTTTTTAGTGTAAAATAATTTAAGTCATTTATTTGAGGTATGTGATAACTTATAATATGCATGTTAGATATACAATTAGATGTTTGGCTGTTCAATTCATTAAATATATTATTGTACTAAAACAATGTTACTATAATAATCATATTATGCAAATATTTATGCTTACATAGTATAAGACTTATATTGAGTAAGTTTTATAGGTGATATGAAGTAAAAGTATCTATAAATTCCTGAATATTGACCAAGGTCAACTACTTCTTAACTTTCTGTTAATCTTGGAAAGAAAGTGTTATCTATACATATATGATGTGCACGCGCATATCTTTACAAAGTACTAAAACTTAATTTTAACATTTAAATTAATGATATATGTGTTTTTTTAGCTTACATAAAAAGTAGTCATGAACGCTCTACAAATGATCCCACGCACTCATTCTACTATAAAACATGTAATAAGCATTAGACGGTGATGGATTAAGGTTAAGTAATTCACTGTGAAGGCGCCTCTGGACTAGGAATACAAATTGTTAAGTATTCTTTTAATAACAGGAAGAAAATGTAAACGAGCAAAAACAATTAATACATTGTTAACTAGACCGATTGTGTATATGTGATAACTCGTAACATTCTCAAGGTGAGTATAATATTATTATAATAATCGTAATACTCTTAAACATGTATACAAAATATCGACCAAGAGAAAAATGACTTGCAATATCCACGTGGAAGACATTTAGTGTAAAAATCGGCAAATTATTTTTATTGTCGCTGTGCACGCTAATTGATGTAAAACGATGTAAATGATCCCCGCCCTTGTTGCGAACCCTTTACACGTATTTAGGTCATCGAAAAAAAAAAACGTCACCGACTGGCGAAAATGGGTCATGTGATGCAGCGCCATGCAGTTATATTGTTAATATTTTGCATTGCACTTACTATGGCGGCAATGTCCTATGCCAAAAATTTTAGTGTTAAAATGTTGGTATGTTTTTAATGGCCTCAGTAGTAGACACCCTCCGAAAATAATGTTTCCAATAATTTATGCATTGATGTAACTACTGTAAGATTTCTTAAAAAATATTAAAATCACTGGGGTAAATTATTCGTCGGGATTTAAAACAATAATTTATTTAGGGTCCAGTAAATTTGCCATAAAACAATTATTGTGACCCTGGTATTGTGTACATCAATAATATCTATAATAATTGTTTATCTTTGTGAGTTCCAAAATAAAAAAACCATCTGTTTTACGCGGATAAACGAGACTGACTCTTAAAATAGGTCAATGCCGCAAAGCGAATACACACTATTGTACACCTAGACAGACGTTCCGATAATAATTATTGTATCGCGTTCCTTTTAAAGGAATATTTTAATATTAACCGTGTAATTCCCTTGAGTTGACGTTACAAAGATCAGCCAATTATAATATTATTAATAATATTAGCATTTGACCTAAATATGAAAATGTATTCCAAGCAGTCCTGAAACACATTTATTTTAGGTCACACTGTCATAATTATCATTTAATTGTGTGTTCCACGTAAAAGGTGCCATAAGTTACACACAGATTTATGTACATTTGTATTTTAATTCGATACATTTATATCTTGTTAACTAAACCTAAACGTGTTATTTTTAAAACACAATTTATTTAGAGTATTTTTCGGAATCGATAAATTTTGTACACCATATTTACTCTGAAGAACATTAAAATAATATTTTAAATAAGTTAGAAAAAATTCAATATTGATATCATCTTATGTATGTAATATCTATAAATGATGTTATCTTTTTTGTGATCCGTCTCATCATATTACCTTTCAATGTGATCTACATAAAAATTTTACGTTGTCCTTACACAAATAACATAACTCCGGTACAACTTGTAACTTACCAACTTGAATACAAATGAGTATGTTTTATTAGTTAAACGCAGTCCATCTTACATAATAATAGGTATAGTACAACATGAAATCGTTGGGTCGGTCAACAACCGGTCCTACATAACTTAAAGTGCGGTAGCATTGGCCTGAATCGCTTCTATCGTATCTCATCTAATAATATTTACATTGATGACTTGTTTTGTGAACCAATTTAGTTATTTTATAATTTTTGTTCATTTTAGCATGTAAAATTATTGAGTGGAGCTTCTAAATGATATTAATGTTATTCATATTGATTACGTTGTATTGTTAAAAAAAATAAATAAAACGATGTGACCGTGATGGTATTTTAATGTAAATAGTTATTATGTTACAGTAATTGCCACAGATTAAAACGCCATAATATTAATGTATGACCGTCTATAGACTAACACATACAAACGAGTCCTTGTGAATCGAAACTATATTGCTCTTGACCTTTGAAGTTAAACAATTTTTTTTTTGTTTAAAACGATCATTTATAATTTTGTAAATGAATCTATTGCATAACTGATTATTATTATTAAAAGTGTAATTCAAGTTCGGATCGTTTTAGAGGTCAAAATAGTTTATACAACAAATAAACTGGTCATGGGATGATATTAAAATATTTATGGTTTTCATTAAGTAACACTTAGTGTATTAAATGTATTGAACAAAACAAAACACTAGGTTCCGCTGTTTGAAAAAAAAATGAGAAACAAACAATATAAGTCCAAGGATTTATAGAAGTAATTTCATTTTCGGTAATTAATTGTGTTAAGGAAGCATATTAAATATTTGATGGTGAGTTTGAAAAGTTTACTCGATGCTCGTCAGTTATTGTAAACAGGTTTTTACTTAGAAACGGAAAACTTTCAAATAACAAACGGTCGGTTATAAGTTAAACTTTTTATTTTAACCTTGAAACTTGATACTTTATTAACATGATAAATTGATAAGTTATATTTTTATTTTATTTTACAATGTAATTTTATGTTAAATCAACGCACACTAAGACTTGTCACGTAAACAATTTATTCAGGTGTAAAAATCTATTATTGCTATTTTATTTTTAAAATGATCTACAAATGCCACTGAAATTCACTTCAGTCCTTAACCCTAATTCGGAGTTATATTTCTGAACCTTTATTTATGATTTAGCTTTATTTTTTGCACTAACTGGGTCATTTCAGCATGTGCGAATATACGTGATGTTTTAAATTAATAAAAAAAACTTGTTGCGTTCCATATTTTCAACGACCTTCTTTTTATTTAATTTTCCACGTCAATAAATATGTCAAAAACAAAAATTGTTGGCATTTTTATCTTATTATTTGAACTTAATTAAAGAAATAATAAGTAATGGCCGTCTAACAATTGAACACGGTTTTTTAACTTATGTCAAACGAAAAATCTTTGTCCATGTTATTGGGCAATATTTTTAAGAATCATAGTATTTAATTTATCAAAAAAAATATATCATTATTTGGTGGATCAGCTTTTGCCTACTTTTGTCTCTAAACAGAAACGGATGATCAAATGTTCTGCAATTTTAAGTTAATTTTTTTCTTTTTGTCAGTAATAATTTTGTAAGCTAACTTTTTAAAGACTATAAAATTACAGTAACCTGTAGTTATTCTAAGCGATGTTCAATTGAACATACTTATGGTCAATTCATATTTGAAAAGTTCAGTTTTTTATACGTTATGCAACCGCTACTATGTTTCCGTTTGTATATTTTTATTATGTTATAAAAAAGAGTATTGCTTTATTTCAACTTATTGGCTATATTTTTTAAATGACAAACGTATTTTCATACGGTGTGTTATGAACGCAGATTATATTTTTTAATAAAACCAATATTACACTTTCATTTTTATTCGAATTTTGACCAAGAAAAAAATGTCAGTTGTGTTGGTTGAATATATAATTGTTTTAAAAGTATAAGTTATTATAGCCGTTTTCTTTATGATCAAACCTTCGAGTGTGCGTGTACGCGTGTCATAAACAATATACATGTCTTTTATTGATCAACGACTGTCGATTTTAAAATGTCTTTGACCCTTAGTCTTCTAAGTAGTTTCTCTTTCAGTACATTTAATCTAGTTTTTCTGCACTTTTTGAAAAGTCTAAGTGAAGTAATCCNGTTTTTCTGCACTTTTTGAAAAGTCTAAGTGAAGTAATCCTAGGGTAATTAAATAAGCCATTTTTTCCTGTTGATAACTCCCAAACATAAATTTCAATAGGTTTTAGAAAATTTCATTACCAATTTGGCAAGCTTTGCTACAAAAATGGCTTTATCTCAAATGTTTGAANTTTTTCCTGTTGATAACTCCCAAACATAAATTTCAATAGGTTTTAGAAAATTTCATTACCAATTTGGCAAGCTTTGCTACAAAAATGACTTTATCTCAAATGTTTGAATACTTAATTACAGAGTGATTTTTTTAACGCTAAATACTCAATTTCTCTTAAAGTAATAAGTTCTTTATTCATTTTTTTCAATTTTTGTTAGTTACAGAATGTTTTCATTTATCTCTTATAAAATAATTTTTATGTTCATCCCTTATAAAGGTGTCAACTTTATTTTTTAAATGGCAACTAAAACTGACTCACAAAAACTGAAAATAAAATGTTCAAACAACTTATTATTTTAATAGTAATTGAGTGTCTAGTGTTAAAAGAATCACTGTGTATGTTAAAATCAAAAATTAAACAAAAGGGCTAAAATAATTGTATTTTTAGATATTGCTCAAATTTTGTATACAAAAATAAAAAATTCGTTACTTATAAATAATTCCTTATATTTAGTGTGAATACTCATAAGAAATAACATTTTAATGTTTATTGTTACTAAAACCCAAGTAGTGCGATTTTTACAAATATTTTTACCTTGGGAATTTGTTTTCAAAATGAGAGCAGTTTTTGAATATTTAATCGAACACGTCATGTATTTCCGAGTTATTATATCAGTATAAAAGTATACCAAATTTAAAGTGATCCTTTTAATTTAAATAGTAATATATCTATTTGATATGATAAAATTGTATAAAGATAAAGTGATTTTCATGAAACGTCTATTATATTGCTCCTTAGTAATTAAACATTTTCGATATAAACTTGACTGAACAAATTTTTCATTGATCTTTCAATTCAAATTTTAAAACTCCTTAGTCATGAAATCATTAGATAATAAAATAGTGTTTTTTAAGTTAAAATAAGTTCTAGGGAATCGAATCAGAGTTAGTATTATAGAAAATCATTTTTAGTATTCATTCATTTGGATTTAACTAAAAGTGTTGCAAAATTTTTCTATAGACTACACTGCAAATAAATTTTTTATAAAACGTTTGTTATCTATCGTTTATTAGTTATTTAGCTTCGACAACATAGACTCCTATAACACAATATAGGTGACACCCTACACCCAACTGAAATCATAATATTATAGTACTGCTGACATCTGCGTCTTCTGTTGAGTCACATGTCCCTAATAAGGCTTATTATTCATGTATGTATATTTTTTTCATATATAAAGTTACAGAGCCAGACAATTTTTTCCTTCGATATATGTCGGATACCCAACTTAATGTTTATTATAAAAATATTATGATACGCAGTAAATAATTATTACAATTATAGTAATACCAATAACAAGCAAAACGAGTGCGCACTTCTTAATTTATAAGTCAATGACTTCAGTATAATTTAAATGTAATACGGTTTT